CAAGGAAACGAAGTAATCACTTCCCCAAAGAGCCCCAACCCTTTACACTATTACATTAGGTATAAGGCTTCCATACATGAATTTTCAGTGGGGGGGGCGCACATCAATATGCGGATCATAGCATATAGTGTCTGACAAGAATCTGCTGTTTCTTTGTTCCTCTGTACATGTTGTATCATTTTTCCCTCTGGGTGCTTCTACGATTTTCTCTTCATCTCCTCTTTCAGTCACTTGCCCTACTTGTTAATGGACCTGGTAATTTTTTACTTCATGCTAAACATGGTGAATTTTACATTGTTGGGTTCTGAGTCTCCCTCCCTCCCTCCCTTTTCCTTCTCTTCCTTTCCCTTCCTTTCCCTTCCTTCCTTCCTTCCTTCCTTCCTTCCTTCCTTCTTTCCTTCCTTCTTTCCTTATTTCCTTCTTTCCCTTCCTTTGTTCTGACCAGTGAACTCCTACCAATGTAGCCCTAGTTTCTCTGTTAGCTTGTTTGTCAACCATGTTGCAAACCAACTCATACTGAAATTACTCTTAAATAAAGTCCCTTACTTTTTCCACCAAGTTCCTATTAAACTGAATGTTCCCCTACCTAATACCTGTTTAGTTGATCAATTTTTTAAAAAAATGATCTTTGTGCCATTGCATTTCTTTATAGAACAGTGGAAATAGAAAAATACATATGAGTATTAGAATGCTCTTTTAGATAATACTTTGCAATATGAGATATTTATTTCCTCATCTTCTCTTAACAATTCATTTGGTTTATTCTAGTAAGAAATCCTTCTGCTAGGCCATACTTCATTTCAAATAATTCCTGATAGGATTTGATTTATGGAATAAAAAAGTCAATCACAGCTGATTTATTCACTTGCTTTTATGTCCATGCCCTTCCCCAAATATATAATGATCTTCTTAATTAATTCAAGACTTAAATTAGAGGAAATTTATGGATGGAGGAAAGGGTTTTGAACTCCCCTTTTGGATAATCTTGAGGAATGTGGAGCAAAGAAGTCACAGAAGCAAACTACAAGACTAAAGAATAAAAAAGTGGATAATACTTGTTAGAAGATTTTAAATTTTTTAGACACAAGATTGAAATCATCTTTCAACTCACACAAATTTCAATTCAAAGGTCATTCATTTCTGAGCAACTTGATAAATATATATATATATATATATATATATATATATATATATATATATATATATATATATATATATTGTGTTAAGCAGGAAGCATCATTCACACAGTATTTGTTGAGCTCTTTTTATATGATAAGGGCTACCCTGTCCTGTGAATCTTGAACATTAGTCTCTTTCTTCTAATTCATAGCAGCTGTAATTTGGACTCTACAATGTAGAACTGAAAGTCAAGCAAGTGCAACAAAGGAGTTCACCAGAGATGACTTTTGAAATCCAGATGCTCTTATGTTGGGAGGCCCTCATAAAGACATCTTAAGCTAGGCTACAGGTATTACTGGCACCAACATTGAACAATTTAAAGTTTTTCTAAGCATAATATTGTAGAACATAAAATAATGTTGTAAATAACAAATCACATAAGATTTATTCAATAATGTTTAGAGACAGAATTTCAAACCTTAATGATAATGTAGAAACAGAAGCAGACAGGCGAGCCAGATTCTCTGAGAACTTGAGAGATGCAGGGAATAGCTTTGGGAAGTTGCACTAACTATTTCAGACCACTAGGGTAACCTTAAGTAAATGACTGTTACAGTATTTCAGTAGCTTTTAGTTTACTAGAGCAGTAAATTATCCAACTCTGAAATTCCCAAACTGTTCCTGAATAGCTACAGCTTACAGCAAACCAGCAGGATTCTTTGTCCTCTAGCTTGGTTCCAGGCTTACATAAATGCTTTAAAACATTAGGCATTAACATTTGCTAAGCATGTCAAAAATAAAATGCTGCCTAGGATAACCCTGTGCATGCATGACTTAATTCTCCTTGACTATGTAGAATGAGATGGTTTAAATTATATAAAAATAAGCTGCCTGTTGTGCCAAATATTTACCTAGATGTGAGAAAAAAAATCATGATTACAATTGAGAAGTTAATTCACAGTTGAGATCATGGGAGTAGTTTCAATGGGCAGAATAAAAATGTGTGAGTTTCTTCTGGGTCACATCCACTTTCCATACATACTCATAATCATGCACTCATACATTACTATTCCAGAGAGCAAAAAAATGAACATGCTTCAGAGGATAACAGGTACTATACTATATTGGCTCATATTTTTGAGTTTTATTACAACCTGCAGACTTCGATGTGAGTAAAGTGTGTCTCGTGTGGGAGCACTTTTATTATGTGGGGTTAGGTTCCTCAGAAAGAAAGGACATGTGGCATCTCCATTCCAGGAGAATAAGCACAGCATCTCTCCCTTCTGTTGCAAACTGGCCTTCTGACCAAGTGACTTGGAAAATGTTTGAAAAGTAGTCATACAAATATTTAGGAAGAGCTAATAGCTGCTCATAAATATATACATACATATTTTTGGACTTAAGAATTAACACAAAAAAGCAGAGGAGCGATTATGCACCCACAGCCTCTGGTCATGGATGTCAATGAAATTCAGTATCTAAGCAGATGCACAAATATCTTGATATACTTTTTCTGTCAGATTCTGGCAATGACTCTGATTCAAATAGCAATTACTGCTAAAGAATTTAGCCTCAACTATTTAGGAAAGAAGCTTTATTGAATTTACAAACAAGGCCCTGCAATTTTCCATTTCCTTAGCAAGATATTAAATCAACCAAGCTAAGCATGTCATCATGACTATAATTTACATGATGTGACATGACAGCTAAGATGTACTGTGGTAATTTCTGAGAGCTTGCAGTATTATTGCAGTATCAAAAATTTATATGGTTCAGTTATTAAGGCAAATTGTTTCATTCATACTGAGATGTCTGACAGTAAACCACCGAGGGCTTCCACATTACATTAAAAAATGTCTTCCATATTCAAACAATTTGCACACCCGGTTACCATTATTTTGTTCACTGAATGGAAAGTAGAGCACAGGCAAGCACAGCTTTTTGATGTGAAAATGATCTGTAGGGGAAAATGAAGTGCTTCATTGTGGGTGGTTAAAAGAAACAGTTCAGCCAGGATAAGGGAAGTTATCTTTGGGAACCAACAACTATGAACAGGATGTCCAAATTCTTTGCTCTGATGCTATTTAATACCCCACTTGCTTGCTTTCCTTCTGTCAGTTTGATTTTCAGCCAACAGAAAGAAAAAGCATATGACCAAAGAAGATATGATGGAAAATATGGCAAATTCTATTATCAGCTATCTCTAAATAAATTTTTGCCATCACATAAAAAATAAACCTCTCAAACTCATCTAATTTTGACCCAAATCTCTTCTTGAACATCCTATAAGATGTTGAAAAAAAAAAGACAGCTTATTTTCATAATTTTTTGGCAATTTTAAGCAGTAGAAATTCAAATCTTATGTGTTATTTTATCCTTGTTGGGAATACAGGAGGTTCCTAAATAGAATAGGATAAAATGACTTCTTATTGTAAGTGGCTCTGCAAATAAAAGTTTAATTAGATTTTTATTATAGCTATTGAATTTTATGCAACATATGCTGTCTCTTTTAAAACACATGTTCATTGAAAACCTGTTTATTCATTTACACATTTTTTTGTAATAGCATTTAGAAGCCTGTTAAAAATAAGAACCAGGTTGTGAGTTAAAATTTTTCAATCAGCTGAAACTACCAGTTCCCATTCACTGAGCAACATATAAGCTAGTAAGTTTTTTTTTCACTTTGATACTCTCGTGCCATACAAGAGAACCAGTAACTATAAATACACTTTAAAAAATTTGTTTTAATTAGTTATACATGACAGTAGGATGCATTTATGTACTTTGATATATCATACATAAAAGGGATATATTTTCTCATTTTTATGAGTGTATATGTTGCAAAATCATATTGGTCATGTAGTCACATATAAACATACAGTAATAATGTCTGTTTCATTTTACTGTCTTTCATATCCCCACATCCCCTCATCTCCCCTCCCATTATTTGTTGAATCTAATGAAGATTTCTTCAAAAGTTACACTATGTTCTTATGGGTGACAAATAGTTTTAAATAGCATCAATTCACTAACAGATTTGTTTTTCTATTATAGTTTCTGGTTTCATAAATAAACTTAACTATCAATAACAAGTTATTAATTTTCACAGAATAAGGATGTATTCATGAAATTAAGACACCATTTAGTTTCCAATATATTATTAGGCAAAATAAAATAAATTCTACACACCAAGACACTTATCTAGAGAGAGTTAATCAACAATAGGGAAAAAAGGTTGCATTTCTAAGGCTTACTATGATAATCAGTGTGTGTTTTGATATACATATGAGTAGACTTTAAAAAAAAACCAATTCTTTCAATTTAGCACATTTGGGGTAGTTCTCAGTTTGAATTCGAGGAAAAATACTGTTTACGTAAGCCTTATAGCAAGCATTTATTAGTTATGTCATACATTTCTTTTTCAATTAAGATTTATACCAGGTAGAAGAAAAAGTAGCTCTCTTACATATCAATTTTGAAAATGAAGTTAAAACAGATAAAGAAAACTTCACTAAGTATCCCATCATGGAACACTCTAAAAAATACCCATTTTCAAATAAACATAACAGTGTTCAAATATCTATAATGTTTTACAAAATATCCTAGAGGTTTCATTAACTTATGCGTTCATTCAGAAAGTTTACATGTAAGTTCAACTATATTAAGAACCAGGGATGTCATGGCCCATTAAAGTCTTCTATACAAACCTTATCCTTGCAGCATGAGAGAAATGCCCAACTTGACTTGACTAACCAGTTCTGGCATTAAAGTACGCTAGGAATCTGATTTCTTCTTTCTTTAAAAAATGCTAAATAATACTCACTCTCATTATTGGTCAGTTAAAGGAGAGGAACAAGAAACATGCAAACATATGGACTTACTTTGTTTCCCAAATATGGAGCTGGAGCACTCCAGTAGTAGCTGTCTGGCAGGACTCTCCGGGCCTCCACATTACTGATGCTGATCTGCTGAGGAGACACCAAGTTGTCCTGCTGGGGAGACACTTGAATTCGGCCAGAGATGTCTGTCAGATACCAGCCACTCATGTCTTGTATCTTAGAAAAAACAATCATCAATAATTATAAACAACTATCCATCACCACTTTCTCTGTCACATTCCTTATAGTGTCCATGTTTAGAAATTAGAAAACCAAACTATTAACACTTAGAATAACATGAGACTCATGAATGTCACTAACTAACACACTCATATATAAGCTCCTATTGTTTATTTTTCCATGATGTTTCCAGGAGTTTTGATAACAATGTATAATACTCAGTTTTTATTGATGTTATACTTTAAAAAGTTCCAAGCACTGTAAAAACAGAAATTCATTCAAAGTTACATGATGGTTAAAACAGTATATAATTCATCAAATAATCCGAGTTTGAATTTCATATTTTTCATTCTATTAATAATTTCTTGTTGCTTAAGGAAATATAACATTTCAAAAGAATTACATACATATTTGTAAAGCAGAGGAAGAAAAGAACGAAAACATGCAAGTACCTGAAAGGTGGTTTTACATTCAGTATTTCTTCCCCTCCCACATTTTAAAATTTCTGTGTAGGTTTAAGGGCATACAAATCCCCCAGCCAGTTGCTATGACAACATCTCACAATACAGTATTTATTCTTTCCTACAGGGTCATAGTGATCTGGAGACCCACATCCTAGATCCCTGCCCAGAAAAGGAAGGAACCTTGCAGGAAAGGGGGTGCGTGATGATTGGCTTTTTCATCGCTCTGCTCCAGTCAGGGTCAGGCATATTGCCACACTTTGAATTTAAACCATCCTACCTGGTTAGGATAAAGCTGAACTGAGGTTTCAGGCTACTCACTACCAGGGATCTATGGGACTAATTTAACCTCCTTGGTGTTGTGATGTGTGGGGAAAAGAATGGTAATGGTGATGACGTGTGGCTAAAATATTTTTTTAATTTCTTCATGTACCGATTATTTGATTATGCTTATCCCAAAGCTGTAGAATCTTTAGTACTTCTGTGGTCAAAAGAAAAACAAAGACAAAGTGAAAACTTATTGGCTAGCTAGACCATAGGTAATAAACTCCTTCCACCTTTTCCCCTTCCAAGGGAACTGAGTTGGATTCAGTGGACCTTGGTTCTAAAGACCCCAAAGCTTGAGTGCCACCAGATGTGCCCTTTGGTTAGTAATGAAGCTTTGATATGTCAGTGGAGACATCAGGAGGGTGGGATGGGGCTCTATAAGGGAAATGAGGAAGTTAGACTGAAGGCCCATTTTATATTGATTCTTTGAAGTCAGCTTCAAAAGCAATACATTTGATAATGTCTACACAGATTCAAATTCAGGAATGGGAGGATCATTAGAAACTACTCATAATATTGCAAATTTGACTTAACAGCCATATGGGCAGAAGAATATTTATAGTTGTATTCTGTATTATTTAGCTTATTAAAGCTAAGCAGTGTTTCGAAGATAGCTTATCAAAATAGTCTTTGTAAAGCACAACTACAATCTTGTACTACACTGCTCAAAATCCTTCTCTAACTCTCCAAACAAAACACCCCAATGTTTCAGTCCACTCAACTTCCTAAGACCTAGTGTCTCATTCACCCTCAAACCTTTTCTCTTCTACACTGTATACTAAGTCCAGCTACACAAACTCTCTGAAATTCCCCGAAAGTCCCATTTCCCTCAACTATTCTATAAGGGGATAAATTGATTTCTGCACAGGAAACCATTATGAAGTATTCTGGGCAGTAGAGTTAGAGAGGTAAACATATTTACATTAGAGGAAGAGAATCCTAGTTATGATTAAATAGGTAATAATTTAAAAATCTTCCAATCAACTAAAAATGAAGGTGTTGTTTAAATTTAGTGTATTTTTAAATAATTAAATAGCCCAGGAAGCATCAAATAGCAATTAAAAGCTGGTTTTACTAAGTGTATATATATATATATATATATATATATATAATATTTACATGAATATAAATATATATATTATATTTATATGAATATAAATATACACAAACACACATATATGTATTTACTATGTATATGATAAAGGAGTTTTTCAACTTCCATACAAAACATGTTGGTAAATGGAAAATGTAATGTGTTATATTACAATCTCATGCTTTCTCTATTACATCATGAACCCTTGGAATTGAATCAACATGAATTCCATTATTATTTCACATACTAATCACAGGCACTGAAAGACTAGACAATTTATTCTAAGAGGTGCCAGTATACAGCATTACAAATAAAACCTTAAAGGCTTTGAGCAAATATACACAAATAGCATTTGTAGAAAATCCCATCACTTTTAAAAAATAACTCTAAATAGAAGCTCATGGTAATAAATTACTTTTTGAAAATATTTGTTACAAAGAAACAACAGCAGCAATAAAGAAGATCCCGGAGTGGCACAAAGAATTAAATAGCAGTCCTTACATTGCCATAGGTCCAGTAGGAACTCTGACATCTGTTTGAAACCCCTGAACAGAAACACTCATCACAGCCTTTCCTGTTATCCTCTTGCAAATTGAAGAAGCCAGATTTGCAGCGACTACAATCTCCTCCTTCAACATTCTCCTGCAAATAGAGAGGTGTGTTAGCAACAGAAATACCCCTCAAGATGAGGAATTATACCTCTGCTTGTCTCAGGAAAATATTAACTGTATATTTATTTTACTTACAAACTTATTTAAAGTATAATATTATTTTTAAAATCAGATCATAAGCTGCTCGTGAAGTTATATCCATTCAAATCCCATGGAGGGGGCAGAGATTACTGGATGCTAATCTTCATGTTTGTTAAGTTATTGAGCAAATGTTATGATAAAATGCAAGAATATGTTAGCCTGACTAAAATGGTGCCATTCAGGTTCACGGCTCTGTTCTATGGAGCAACTTCCATTTTACTGAACAACTTTGCACATGATATATGATAAAATTAAACATGTTAAACTTTTACCTGGATGCATAATAGAACACTGATATTATACAAATTGTAAAATACTTTTAATACAACAGACTAAAATGCATGCCTTTCAGCACTAAAAAGCGCTAATTTGACAGGAAGAGGAACTGGGCCAAATAATCTGGAATGTTTTCCTGATCAGACTAACTGCAAAAGGAAGAAAATTTTCCCTGGTTAATTTTTTACATTGTTGGCTTTGACACATTGGTCCAGCCAGTTAGTGATATAAGGATATTATGGGAAAAATTCATTCTTGTTGCTGACTGCTCTCCAGATTGGTTTCATTAATTCTACTCCTAGCGCACTGAAAGTTATTTCTCGATAGGTGAGCCTCAAATGAGGTCTCATGCCAGTGAAAGTTGGCTGTATAATGAAAAACTGGGAAGGGTGTAATATCTCCATTTAAGAGATGGTTAATCTTGGCTAATTCTTCTAAATAAAAGTTCCCTGCTTTCCAGAAAATAGATTTTCAATATTACTTAAAGGTGAATTTATTCTGCATTTCCCCTCTTCATAAATTCCCTTTACACCTCAATTTTGAAGCTTTCCTTTTTCCTTGGAGAACTAACTTCTCTCTCAACTGTGTTCAGATGGCCTTTTGTACACTGCCTTAAGATAACCACAAAAAAATGCAGTTTTCCTGGATGTGTACCATAATCTATTCAGAGGTAGAAACCCTATTTACTTGTGCTTATTGTGGTAGAGCAAATTGGGAACTTTAGCAGTTTAAGATTTGACAGACTGGTTCTGCACGCTGACACGCAGCAACTCTGCTTATGCACATTTAATCATAAAGGCTTGCAGTGGTTACAGGTACCTATAAAAGATAACTACAGTAGTAGAAGCAGGAAGCAAAGCAATGGGGACAGAGTAATTTTTATGCTTAGTTCAGTAAAATTCCCTAAGCTGTATGAGCAAAGAGTCACACGGTGTTGACTAGCTTGTATCCACATAAAGGAGTGTAGAATGAAACCTTCAATAGAATTGCACCCACTCCCTTGCTTTGATGTACCAAACACTTGCTTATGTTTAAAAATAAGAGTCCCACTGTGCTCAGGGCTCAGACTTTGAGAATTATTCCTTTGAACCATAGTGCCATTAATAAAGTGTTGCTTCCAGATCTTGGTGTCCTGACCTTTATTTTCCAGCACACTTCAATCCCAGAAAATAAGAAATCCTGGTTCAACATTGAATGCAGACGTCATAATTTTTTTGTCAAGTGGTGGTGATTTCTACATACAAAAAAGTGCTCTGAACATAATAGATGATAAAGAAGATAGTTTTAAATAAGTCAAGATTGGGAAGAAGACAAGTATGTTAAAAATCTGAAAATTTGTAAGGTAATATAGAAAAAAAATGGCATAAATGTAAGGAGGGATTTGGAAGAGCTTCTCCTTATATCCAGAACTTGTTTAAAATTAACTTTTTGGCTCTGCATTTCTAAGGTCCATTGACATCAACCACTTCTGCATCACTGGAAGCCTCAACAAGGGGGTGTTTCTCCTCTTGTTTCATGTGTTAAACTGTGGAATCTGATATGCACACCAAATGAAGCAATGCATTAACATTCTTGCAAGTTTTAATTTTTTAAGGTAGATTTCAGATATTTTGAGATGATTTCAGAGAAAGTAATAAAACTTATTTCAGACCTAAGGGGACACATAAGTCCAGACAGCACTGAAGTTGAGGGCATCTTCAAAAGATTACACAGGCAGAAGGATGAAACATAGCTATAATTATAGTTCTGCTTCTCCTGTTGAGGACACAGGCCAGGTGTTCTGAACACTGTGTTCTTCTGTGCTTGCTCTAATCCACTTTTCATTTACTCTCATTTGAAAGCAAATCATACCACTTTTCTGAGACTCAGAGTGAGTTCAACAATTAGAAAATTTTAGACATTAGTTGCATTTTCTTTAGCTTCATTTTAGCCTAGTAACATGATTCTGAAAATACGATTAAATAATTGCATATTCAATTCAATTTGATAACCTGAAGCAACACATTAGGGAAGAAATTCGAAGTACCATAAATATGAGCGAGTCAAGGTCTCTGTCTTTAAAAGCCAGCATCTACTTAGGTAACAAGATAGACTCACAATCAACTCTAATGCAAGGTGGAATGTGGTCACTGCATCTCAGAAGTGAACTAAATTATAGGTGTACCATAAGGAAGCACTAATTTCTGCTGCAAGCTTTAGGAGGTTTTACAGCAGGAGTGAAATTTCATGTAAACTTTAAGTCTGGTTTATGAATTCAACTAGTTGGCAGGGATAGAACAAGAGACTCATGTTAGCAAAGATATTGGAAACAAGAATAGCGTAATAGGTAGAAGGTTCATTCATTATTTATTCTTTCAAAACAAATACATTGAATAACTCCAATATGCTAGGAGCTTCACTTGGTTCTTGCAATCCAGGGTCTCTATCCTCAGTTTATAGATCCTAAAGGCAATCCTAATATACATTGACCTGACATTTCCCCTTAAGAACTAGTAAGTCATTTGTGACTGCTCAGCAGGAGATAAATCAATAGCACTATACTTGAGGGACTTAAGTCAATAGCAGTGAGTAAAATGTCTAAGAGATGTGAGTCATTGAACAACAAAACCTTTCACTTTTTATGGTGCGATAATGGGTTACCTCAACAGGTTTAGGGTACGCAAACCCTGCATATAATGATGATTGTTATGTTATGGGAAGATAACCAATAAACCTTCATATGCCTGGGTCCTAGAGTCACAGCAGATACTTTATAAGGAGAATGCCTGGCTTTGGCCGGTTGGAAGCACCAGGGCCATGCCGTACCAGTGTGAACTCTGGAGGTACTGAAGACTGGGTAGTTTAAGATTGGTAATGTGGACCATTATACATTATAACTGAGCCCCTGGTAAAAGTCCAGAACATCAAGACTCAGATGAACTTCCTTAATGAGCAACAATTCCTCTGAGTAGTCACATACTTTTGCATGGAGAACTTAGCCTTCAGTGTGCTTCCATTGAGACAAGATAACTGAGAGTTTGTGCTTGCTTGGTCTCTCTTGAACTCTTCCCTATGCATTTTCTGTCTTTGGCAATTTTAATCTGCAACCTTTCATGTAGTAAACTAGCTTTCTGAGCCCTGTGAATCCTCTTGACAAATCATTCAAACTGGGGTTGATCTTAGGGTCCCTGACACATCATGCTAGTGATGTAGGATATCTACATCTACAAAAACATGTCTCCAAGTGATGATTTTGCCTTGTTTATTTTGAAAAATCTTTGAAGTGATGTATTTTAGGTCTTCACACTAATCCTACTCTTTCTACACCCAATTCAATTCATTCCCCTCTATGAATGATTGTCATATTTTTACAGCATTTCCAAAAACCTTATATAAGATTTCCTTGCATATTTATTTAATGCCACAATTTAAAAAATCTATACTCCCACTTTTTATTCCTGAGTCTATACCTTATATTTACTTTATAGTGAATAATAGTTTCTGCTAAATTCAATTTTATCTGAGGCCATCTCCATACTTTGAGTTCCTACATAATAAAAATGCAACTTAATTTTTCAATGAGTAGAAAACCTAATTTAGGAGTATATTTATTGTAAGAGATAGTCAGGTTTCAGCCAATCACAAACAGCTAAGTTTAAGCCAATTACAGGCTGCCAACTGATCAGTGTTCAAATAAGGCAAATGCCTAGAAGTAACCCAACAAGTTGCTTCTGTACTCTTCTCTCTTCTCTCTCTTCTCTTCTCTTCTCTCTTCTCTCTTCTCTCTTCTCTCTTCTCTCTCTCTCTCTCTCTCTCTCTCTCTCTCTCTCTCTCTCTCTCTAATATTTATTGACCACATAAGTGTGCAGAGTTCTCTGAATCTCTTCCAATTTTGAGTACTGCCTGATTCCTGAACCATTCTTGCTCAAAGAAACTAAATTTATTTTGTCAAGATGTTTTTTATGTTTCTAATAAGATTGAGGTAGATTCATTATCCAAAATTGCTAGATTTTGATTTTTCTCAGGCTCTACTGCAAATACTGAAATATAACTAAATAATAAATATAATGTATATATGACCTGCTTATATATCATTCCTCATGGCCTACTTAAAGGGCCGTTTGAAGTTGGTAGGAAGATGAAGAACTGGAGAAAATCTTTGAATTCACTAAACATCTTCTTTCTAAACAAATATCAACATAGATATCTAGAAAACTAATCTTTTTTTATTTTTTATTGTTGGCTGTTCAAAACATTACATAGTTCTTGATATATCATATTTCACACTTTGATTCAAGTGGGTTATGAGCTCCCATTTTTACCCCATATACAGATTGCAGAATCACATCAGTTACACATCCATTGATTTACATATTGCCATACTCGTGTCTGTTGTGTTCTGCTGCCTTTCCTATCCTCTACTATCCCCCCTCCCCTCCTTATTAGGTTCTATTTCCTTTAACAAACTCCCTTGAAAGAGTGTATAGTTGACTGCATATCTAAATAATGTTCTACTTAGAGCTTCACAATTTTTCTTTTAAAAATAAGTCTTTTTTTTTAAATGATGATTGCTAGAGAACATTACAGTGCAATAATAAATATTTATACAATAGAGAAGAGCACAATTCAAAGATA